GTCGGTTAAGCGTCCGACTTCAGCCAGGTCACGATCTCGCGGTCCGTGAGTTCGAGCCCCGCATCAGGCTCTGGGCTGATGGCTTGGAGCCTGGAGCCTGTTTCAGATTCTGTGTCTCCCTCTCTCTCTGCCCCTCCCCCGTTCATGCTCTGTCTCTCTCTGTCCCAAAAATAAATTAAAAACGTTGAAAAAAAAAAATAAAATAAAATAAAAATACAAGGAAACGAAGGTTCAGAGAAGTTAGGTAACTCGTCCAAGGCCACAGAGCTGACAAAGAGGTAAAAATGCGATCCGACTTGGGCAGTTAGCTCCAGAGCCCGCAATTCTTACCACGCAAACACCTCCTTTTTAACTTCCTACCACTCCCAGTGTTTAACAACCATACAAGTGAACGTGCAACTCGGGAGGGGGCTGAATGGCATGAGCGCCAGCGGATTTCAGGAGCGGAGGAAGCCACCTGAGCTGGGCTCTGGAAGCATGGATCTAGGTCAAAGGTCAGGGACCCGATGCCTGCTGGGGCCGGGCCACGGAGGCCCCAACACACGGCTCATACGACAACGTAAGCCCGGCCTGGCAGAAGCAGCCAGTCTGTGACTCGGGACGGCAGAAATCGAGCGAGAGCAGACAGAAAGGGCCTTGGACGCTAGACCGAGAGGTCTGAGGAGCTATTAAAAGTTCCTGACAGGGGCGCCTGGGTGGCGCGGTCGGTTAAGTGTCCGACTTCAGCCAGGTCACGATCTCGCGGTCCGGGAGTTCGAGCCCCGCGTCAGGCTCTGGGCGGATGGCTCAGAGCCTGGAGCCTGTTTCCGATTCTGTGTCTCCCTCTCTCTCTGCCCCTCCCCCGTTCATGCTCTGTCTCTCTGTCCCCAAAATAAATAAACGTTGAAAAAAAAAATAAAGAAACAAAAAAAAAAAAGTTCCTGACCACAACCAGTTAAGCGGAATCACCGTAGGCTCCACCAATTTCACTCCTATGTGTGCACCCAAGAGCAGTGAAAACACACGCCCACACAAACACTTGTACGCGGACGTTCACGGCAGCATTATTACAATCGCCGAGAAGAGGAAGCCACCCAAACGTCCATCCACCGATGGATACGTAAAATTTTATCATTCACGATAAAAAAGAAATGAAGTCTCGGTACACACTGCAACATGGCTGCACCCTGAAAACACGTCACTCGGAGAAAGAAGCTAAACACGAAAGGCCACCCGTTGTGTGGTTCCATTTATACGAAATGTCCAGAAGAGGCAGCTCCGTAGACACGGAAAGCAGATTCGTGACTGCGTGGGGTAGGGGCATGTGGATGAGGATAAGGGGCACAGGGGTTCCTTGGGGGGTGGCAAATGCTCTCAAATTGACAAATCCACTGCCCTGGATACTTTAAATGGGTGCATTGTCTGATACGTGAATTGTATGTCAAATACGACTCTTTCAAACAAGTGTGAAAGCAGGAAGGAGAACCGTAACAGAGGTGCTGTGGGACAATCAGGCCGTCTCCGGTCTACCTGCAAGACAAACTTTCAGGGAAGGGGACTGGTCCGACAAGGCAGCGTTCGGGGCAGTTAAGGGAAGGAAG